GTTGCCATGCTTGAGTCCATTAATGCTGCCACTTGGCCAGTCTATCTCGTTGGGGGTCTTCCTATTTTTCTCTTACCCTCCCCCTTAGCAAACATGATATCCTTCCTCAGCGACTAGTCCCTCATGAAAGTATGTGCGAAGTATGAGAGAGGAAGTTTGGCCATCCTGGCCTCCAAGGAACATTCTGACTACACAAAGATCTGTTTGTTCTTTTGGCAGTCCATGGCACTATCAATATTCTCCAACACCATAGCTTAAAAGCATCAATTCTTCTGTGGTCTTCCTTATTCACTGTCCAGCTTTCACATGCATAATGAGGTTATTGAAAATACCATGGTTTGGGTCAGGCACACCTTAGTCCTCAAGCTGACATCTTTGCTTTTCAAAACTTAAAAAAGTTCCTGTGCAGCAGATTTGCCTAATGCAATATGTTGTCTGATCTCTTGACTGCTGCTTCCATGAGTGTTGACAGTTGATCCAAGAAGAACGAAGTCCTTGACAACTTCAATCTGTTCTCCATTGATAAGAATGTTGTTTATTGGTCCAGTGGTGAGGATTTTGGTTTTCTTTACGTTGAGATGCAATCCATACCGAAGGCTGTGCTCTTTGAATTCTCATCAGTAAATATTTTAAGTCCTCTTCACTTTCAGCAAGCAAGGTTGTATCATCTGCATATGGCAGGTTGTTAATGAGTCTTCCTCCAATCCTGATGCCACGTTCTTCATAGAACCCAGCTTCTCGTATTATTTGCTCAGAATACAGGTTGAATAAGTATGGTGAAAGAATACAACCCTGTCTCACACCTTTCTTAATTCTAAACCATTCAGTGTTCCCATGTTCTGTTTGAACAACTGTTTCTTGGTCTAGGTACAGATTCCTCAGAAGTACAATTAGGTGTTCTGGAATACTCCTACTTTGCAATGTTGTCCATAGCTTGTCACGATCCACACAATCGAAAGCCTTTGCGTAGCCAATAAAGCACAGGTAAACATCTTTCTGATATTCTCTGCTTTCAGCCAAGATCCATCAGACATCATCATTACAAAAAATAAATAAAAAAACCTAAGAAAAACAAAACCCAGCACACACAGCAAAATGACAGCTCGATGTCACTTAGCAACAACATAAATAATCGCATTAAATGTAAGTGGACTATATGTACCTGCCAAGAGACAGACAATAACACAATTGATAAGAAAACAGCATCTTCCAATATGTTGTCTACAAGAGACGCATCAAAAGGATGGAGACAGTCTAAATGCCCACTAACAGAATGGTTAAGCTTGGGTACATACACACAGTGGAATACTACATACACAACTTGGAAGAATTACGATGAATCTGAAAAACACCTCACAACACGAATGAACCTGGAGGACATTATGCTGAGTGAAATTAGTCACAACAGGACAAATACTGTTTAAAGACTTCAGGTTTTTTTGATAATGGAAACATTCTATGATGGCTACAGGGGTGGTGGCAGAGGAATGATGAAAGTAACAGGAGACAGAAGAATGCAAGAATACAGGGGAATAGAGGTGAGTTATTACCCGGAACTGATGGTACGTGGAGGGGATTGCAGTCATTGTAGTTACGCAAAGTATATGATTTGTTGAACGTAAAACTGATGATCTTATCAACTTCCATTCAGTTCACAATGCAAAGTTTTTCAAAAAAAGGAAAAAAAATCCAAGAAATTGCATTAGACAGATCTGCTGCACAAGACTTCTTTAAAGTATTCAAAATCAAAGATACCTGTTTGAGAACTAAGGTGCACCTCACCCCCAAGTGTGGTCTATTCAGTAGCCTCATATGCATGTGAAAGTGGGACACTGAATAAGGAAGACCATGGAAGCATTGATGCATTGGAGTTTGGGTGTTTGAGGAGAATATTTGAAAGTACCATGAACTTCTAGAAGAAACCACTGTTGGAAGCAGTGCAGCCTGAATGCTCCTGAGAAACCAGGTTGGTGAAACTTCATCTCTCACACTTCGGACATGTTATCAGGAGGGACCAGTCCCTGGAAAAGGACATCATGCTTGCTGAAGTGGAGGGTCAGTGAAAAAGAGAAAGGCACGCAGCCAAATGGATTGGCACTGTGGTGCAACAGCGGAATCCAGTGTAAATACAGTTGTGAGACTATTACAAAGGACTGAACAGTGCTTCATTCTGTTGTGCGTAGTGTCGCTGTGCGTTGGGACTGACTCAGAAGCACCTAACAACAACAACAACTACCTCCTGATCACGTGGTTTTTGGCTGCCTGAAGGCCGCCTTTTTTTTTTAAAAAAAAAGACAAAAAAACAAAAACTTTCTATTGTTTATTGAGTGAAGGTCTTCAAACAAGATCATCAGTTTTATATTCAACAAATCAAATCATACACTTGGTTTCATCTCATTGATTTCAGTCCCCTCCATGCAAACCACTTCCTCCCTTGGGGTCCTATTTCTGTCTCACCCACCTTTCCATCCCTTCCCAACTTTGTCCTTAGATAAATATTTTCCCTTTTGATTTTGAATGGTCATTCCACCATTCCTAGTGAGCATTCATAACAACATAGTGATGATGTTATCTACCCAACCCACTGCTTGGCTGAAAGTTGGACTACAAGGGTGAGTTCCTTACAGACCTGAAGAGTGGTCGAGGACCATTGTCTCAGATTCCTCCAATCTCTGACCAGTGAACTGGTTTTTTTAAAAAATAATTTTAAGTTTTGTTCTATATATTCTGCCCCTCTCTCCAGGACCCTCTAATGTGTCCCTTCCAGAGCAGTTGGTAGTGGTAGCCAGGCACCGTCTAGAGCTTCTGGTCTCCGAGTCGTGGAGACTGAGGGTCACATGGTCCATTAGTTTGTTGGACTAATTGATTACAAGCCTTTTCAATTCTCATCATTATCCTTTGTTCTGCACATGGAGGGACCAATAGCTGCACCTTAGACAGCCATTCATGAGCTTTTAAGATCCCAGATACTAGTCACTGAAGTAGGATGTGTCGATCATTGTCTTCGTGGACTGTATTCTGCCAGTTGACCATGGTGTCCCCTGAGACTATGGTCCTGAGCCCCGGGCCCAGGAACTCATTGCCTTAAGAAGCTTCATAATATCGAAGATGTTTTCATCATCTTGCCCACTATATGTTCCACCACATTCATAGGGTGTTTGCAGGAAAGGTAACTATCCAGGTACCAATATCCATACACGTACAAGGAAGACCAGTTAATACCACTATTATTCAAAGTTACGCATTGACCGCTAAAGCCGATGATGAAATTGAAGCATTCTACCAACTTCTTCAGTCTGAAATTGATCAAACATGCAATCAAGTTGTGTTTATCATTTCTGACCATTGGAACGCAAAGGTTGGAAACAAAGAGGAATGATCAGTAGTTGAAAAATAGGGTCTTGGTGATAGAAAAGATGCTGGAGATCACGTGATAGAATTTTACAAGACCAAGGACTTTTTCATTGCAAATACCTTTTTAAACAATGTAAAAGATGGCTATACACATGGACCTCACCAGATGGAACACACAGAAATCAAATTGGCCACATCTGTTGAAAGAGATGGTGGGAAAGTTCCATATCATCAGTCAAAACAAGGCCAGGGGCAGACTGTGGAACAGACAATCAGTTACTCATACGCAAGTTTTGGCAGAAGCTGAAAAAAGTGAAAAGTCCACCAGAGCCAAAATACGATCTTGGACAATAAGCTACCTGAATTTAGAGCTCTTCTGAAGAACATAAAGACTGCAGACCCTTAGAGTTGTGGGATGACATATCAAGAGCAGCATACGGGAAGAAAGCAAAAGGTTGTTACACAAAGGAGAAGGCTGAGATGGATGTCAGAAGACACGCCGAACCTTGCTACAGCAAAAGGCAGAAAGGAGGAGGTAAAGGAGCTGAACCAAAAATTTCAAAGAGCAGCTCAAGAAGATGAAGTCAAATATTAAAACGGAATGTGCCAAGACCTGGAGTTAGAAAACCAAAGGAGAAGAACACACTCAGCAGTTCTCAAGGTGAGGGACTGGAAGGAAAAATTCAAGCCTTGACTTGTATTTCTGAAGGATTCTATGGACAAAATAGTGAATGAGTCAGAAGGCAACTACAGAAGGTGGAAGGAACAGCATCACTGTACCCTAAAGGAAGTATTTTCTCTTGGTCCATGTCAGCTGACATTTCATTCTTCTCTGGCTCCGTTGGCTGGGGGCGCTCTGACAGTTGGCTCTTGACAGTTGGCTGGGGTCGCTCTGCTTTCTCTCGATTTAGCCGGGGCACTACTGACATTTGAGTTTTCAGGTTGGTATCTTCCATTGGTTCTGGAAGGCTCTCATCCTTTCCTTTTCCAGGGGTGACTGCTGCCGTGTCCTGTCTCTCCCCACTACCTGTGGGCCTCCTATTAGACTTGTGCTAGACCTTCTTGTCCTGTGACCACCTCCTGACTGTCCCTGAATCGCTCTTGTTCTCGATCTCTGCTGGGTCTTGGGTGTTCTCTTCGGATCCATCTTCCCACCATCTTTCTCGCTATATTGAGTCGATTTCTTGTTTCCAAAAGAGCTGCTGAGTGGTTTCCTCTGCAGTTTGCTGTATCTGATGTCAGATAGTCTGAGGTCTACTCTTGTTCCCGTAGGGACACAAGGCAGAGCGGCTCTGGCAGCTGAGGGCTGGCGTCTCCCGGCCGCACACGGGGTCCATCTGTCTGGGTGGCATGCGTCTGTCTGTGGAATCACCTTTGTTTTCCCTTGTTTCCTCTTGTGCCTGGCTCTCTTGATCATGAGCTGCTCATTGCGCTCAGTTAGTTGTAGGGTCTCCCCTGCACAAAAGGGGACCTGACCTGGGAGCCTTCCCCCGGGCCCCTTCAGGCCCGGAACATTCTCTCATCCTTTTCTCTGGCTCTGCTCAACACCCTGAGGTCAGTCCTGTGTGTTGGCCATGTCGAAACGCCTGGGGAGCCCCGGGGCCCAGGTGCGATGCCCCTTTAGGTGACTGCTTTGTGTGCCACAGTCACACCTGTGCCCTGTGGCGAGCCCTGGCTGTGGAGCCCAGCCTCGGTGCCCCGGTGTTGGAGCTGCTCCTGGAGAAGATGGGCAGGGACGTCCCATTCAAGGAGAGCCGCACCTTCCTGCTGAGCAGCGCCCCCGAACGGGTGGCCACCCCACTACCCCTGGCGGTGAGTGCGTCTACCCCTCCCCACCATGGGTTGGACACACAGCCCAGCACCTGGCTGCTGCCCCTGGGAACGCTGGCCTGTCGGGCCTGCAAGCACCACAGCCGGCTCGTAAAAGGCCTCTCAGGTGTCTGTCCCCTAGGGAGATCATTTTGCGTTTTATCCTGTGAAAAAAAGTAAACCCAGCCTGGCCACTTGGAAGCAGTAAAGCATCTGTGAAAATGTTCTCTCCCTACGAGAACCCCCACTCCTACCCGCTGAGCCTGGGTGGTTCCACCCACTCCCCCACAAATGAGCCCTCCAGACTCTTGGGGACCACAGGCCAGGTGGGGGCCCTAGGGGTCAGGCCCAGCTTTCACTGCTGGAGAAGGCTGGGGAGACACTTGTGTCTTGTCTTTCAGGCCACGTGTGCCCTCTATGAAGTCCTGTCTGCTCCCACCTGTGGGAGCGCCGTGTTGGAACTCTACCCTGAGCTGTTTGTGGCCCTCCTGCTTCGAGTCAGCTGCACCGTGGGTGTCCTTTTGCCCCGGAACCTGCAGGCAAAGGAGAGGAGGAACTCTGGCACCCCCGTTGCCACCAGGAGTCTGGACCCCTGCGGGTAAGTGGGGCCAAGGCTCCCAGCCCACAGCGTGTGCGCACAGGGGTGGGCTGCTCTGTGTGGTGGCTAGACTTCTATCCATTGGTGTTGGTCAGAGCCAAAGGGAAATCTGGGCTGCATTGAGATGTTGTAGCCTCCTGGGCCCTTGACAGAGGCCCGGGCCCTGCAGTTCCCCATCTCTACTGTCCCCTGGGTCAGTGGCAGGAGCCAGGGGAGGGTAGGTGTGCAGTTCTAGCTGAAGGATCTCTACCCCTACCCCAAGGCATGCACACCTACGTGTGGGTGAGTTAGCTCCTCTGCAGGATGGGAAAGCTGCCCGCCCTGCTTGTGCTGGGCACCCCCTGCCCCATGTCCACCAGGGATGTTTTACACATTGAATCTTGGCCTCTAGGCAGTTTCCCAGGAGGATGGGCCCTATAGATGCTGAGTGGGCAGACAGAGCAGTGGACTGGCAAGGGGCTATCTCTGAACCGTAAACTGAGCCAGCCCCCTGGGGCACCTTCCCCATGACAGGAATCCTTTTGGGGAGGGCTCTGACGTTGGCCAACACAGGTGCCCTTTGATGTCCCCCATCCAGGAGCTGGCCAGGAGCCTCAGTGTTACAGGTCCCAAACCAGGCATGCCCTCTTCCCCAGACCCCTCCCCCTGCCCTCCAGGAAGGCCTTGCCTACTGGGCTGCTCAGGACAGCTGGCCCCCAGCCAATCCCACCCACTCCTCCCTGCCTTCCACGCCTGGACCTGAGGGCCTCGCACGTGGTGCTCACAGCAGGCCACCAGGCTGTGGTCTCCCAGGGCAGCAGGCCAGGTTGCTGTTGTAGCCCCGCCCCTAGGCCGGGAGCCGGGAAGGGCTCTATCTGAGAGGGGCCGACTCAGATTCCAGACGGGCCCTGGAGAGGTTACAGTATCAGACTCATTTCCTGTGTGGAGCTCAGGCTTCTCCAGCAGGGGAGCCCGCCAGGGTGGGAGTCCTGGCTCAGTGGCAGGGCAGGAAGTCAGAAGTGCTTTGGGGGACAATAGAACTCACCTGGGGAGGGGTGGCCCTCCTGCCCTGATCCCAAAGAGCCAGGGTCCCCTGTGGTGCAGACTTGGCTGTGCCAATTCGACAGGCCTTGTGGGAGCAAGTTCCAGGGAGAGAGGTAGAACTGTGGAAGTGGCTCTGGGGACACTAACAATGCCGAGCAAGTAGGCTCGACTGACATGGGATTGGCCTGCAGCATGGCCACCCTGGGTACTCGGATCCGCACCACCGTCAACACCATTACCCCTGACCCCTGCCTGGACTTCCTGGCTGGGCCAAAGTTTCAAGTCGTGTCTGGGAAATACCCCCATCCCATCCCCCAAAGGGTTGCCAGCGTGTTGCTGTGGGATCACGGTGCCCACTGCCCACTGTCTGAGCTACAGACCCACAGGGCTCACTAGTGGCAAGGGGACTCCACTGGCCTGCTCCATGAAGGCTGGCATGGGCACTGGGACAGAGAGATAAGGGGCGCGCCGACAGAGCTGAGCAGCTGTCCCCACAGCTCTGCTGTGGACACACTGCAGGCCATGCTGCTGAGAGGGGGCAGTGAGGACGTGGTGCGGCACCTGGAGCTGGAAGGTGGCTGGGAGCTGCTGAGGAGCTCTGAGGGCCACGAGGAGGGCGTCACCCGGCTAGCCAGGTGAGCAAACCCCATCTCCTGTGTGCCTAGACAGGCGTAGGTCAGTGTCAGTGGGCCCGTTTCTGATCTCCAGTTAGAGAGGACTCAGGCAGGAGTGGGGCTGCCATGCTTTCTCAGGACCAAGGTCTGGGGACATGGACAGAACAGACAAGAGCCCAGCCCACTGGCCTCCTGCCTCCTCCAGAGCCATGGCGAAGCACGCAGGGCCTCGACTCCCACTGGTGATGAGGGCCCTGGTCTCCACGCAGAGCAGCGTGTACAAGATCCAGAGGGTCACCTCCACGGCCTTCCTGGCAGAGGTGAGGTGGTCTTTACCAGGGCTCCCAAGTCCCCAGTGGCTGCTGCGGTCAGGTCTGCGGGCCCTCAGGCATGCAGTCCAGAGTGGGGCTGCTGTAGGTGTCCAGACCTCCCTTGGCCTTGGTTTCAGACCTGACCCTGCCCTAGTTGATGTTGCTGCCAGGACATTCTGGGTAGAGCTGATCGGGGGTGTCCCTGGTGGTAAGGGTTCTTGGGACTGAGTGGTGGTGTCTCCTCTGTCCCCAGCTGCTCAGCAACAATGTGGTCAACGACCTGATGCTTCTGGAGTCGCTGCTCGACAACTTGGCAGCCCGGCAAAAGGACACGTGCACTAGCGTGCGGCGGCTAGTGCTCCGAGGGCTGGCCAACCTGGCCTCGGGTTCCCCCGACAAGGTGGGCAGCGGAGAGGTGTGCGGGCATGGGTGAGATTTAAGGGTCAAGGACCCAGGTTGCTAAGTGTGGTGGCTCTTAGGTGCGGGCCCATGGCCCCCAGCTCCTGACAGCCCTGATTGGCGGGCTGGATGACACAGACGAGCTACACAGCGTGGTGGCCTTGGAGGCCATGGTGGGCCTGGCCAGGCTGCTGGGTCTGATGGAACCGTGGGACCTACGCTCAGTGTTGCTGCACATCGCCATCCGCATCCGGCCTTTCTTCGACAGTGTAGGCAGGGGCCCTGTGGCTGCCAGCCTGACCTCGACTTGGGTGACCCCTGGAATAGGGCCCCCTGTTGTCTCCTCCCATTCTCAGGGACCCACTCCTCTGCCCTCAGGAGAAGATGGAGTTCCGACAGGCGTCCATCTGCCTTTTTGGACACCTCCACAAGGTCTGCCACGGGGACTGTGAGGACGTGTTCCTGGAGCAGACTGTCAGTGCACTGGCGCCCCTGCTGCTGCACCTGCAGGACCCCCAGGCCCCCGTGGTCAGCGTGAGTTGCGGAAGGGGGTGGCGGCAAGGGGCGGCAGGGCAAGGGCTCAGCACCGTGCTCCACAGGCCTGCAGGTTTGCTCTGCGCATGTGTGGTCCCAACCTGGCATGTGAGGAGCTGACGGCAGCCTTCCAGAAGCACCTTCAGGAGGGCCGCGGCCTGCACTTTGGCGAGTTCCTCAACACCACCTGCAAACACCTGGTGAGGCGGTGAGGCGGTGGGCCGGGAGAGGGGCAGCAGGCCGTGGGGCCTGAAGGACTGAGGGGACTGCTGGCCTCTACCTCAGATGCATCACTTCCCTGACCTGTTGGGCCGCCTGCTGAGCACTAACCTATTTTACTACAAGAGCAGCTGGGAGGATGTGCGGGCCGCAGCCCCCATGTTTACAGGTGAGCACCTGAGCCCTGGAGCCGCCCACCCTCCCTGGCTTAGCAGACCTGCCCACCCTGACCTGGCCTGCTTCCTGTCACAGGCTTCCTCATGCTCCACGCAGACCCTGAGTTCCGGCATCAGGTGGACCTGGAGCAGCTTGTGGCTGGTGAGTGGACATTTCCCCAGCTGCTTGTCAGCCCTCCCCCACTTCACTGCCCAGCCTGCTCCCCTCCACTGGCCAGGGGGTCACCCTTAACTCCCCAACGTGTTGGGCTGCTGACCCTGTGGGCACCAGAGGGGCTAAGTGATTTTCCTGGATTTCAAGGATTTTTTCCCTGTCACTGGTGACCTCATCGTCTCTAGTAATTCACGGAAACTTCCTAACTGTTCCAAAAGAGCTTTAAAAACACTAAAAAAGGAAAAACTCTCTTTCCGTTGGCTCCTGAGTCCTCCCAGCAGAGAGGCCTGTTTGGAGGGTGGCGGCGGCCCCACGTGCAGGCGCCAGTGTGCCCGGGGGGATGGGGGGGATGCGGTGAGGGGGGTGCAGAGCTCAGGTGGTTGGTGTCCCCTCCCCCCCAGCACTGCAACTCCTGCTGAAGGACCCAGCGCCCAGCGTGCGCATGAAGGCCGCCGAGTCCCTGGGCCGCCTGGTGAAGTTTGCCTGAGCCTGCCCATGGGGCCCAATCGGACTGGTTCTGGGCTTTGCAGCCCTTGCCTGGGTGGGAGTGGCCTGGCCACCAGGACCACCCTTTGGTGGGAAAGGCACCAGAGGGCAAATGGGTTGGAGAACAGTAGTCCCCTCGATTCTTAATAAAGCCATGTGCCCCCAGCAGTGCTGATGGAGGGCTTCTGCTTCTGGGGCCCCAGGGCCTCCAATGCGGACTGAGGGAAGAAGAGTCAGCACACAGGCGAGGAGACAAGAGAGCTGTATTGAGTGAGGGTCCTGAGGTGCTGGAGCGGGGTGGGCAGCTTCTAGGTGAAGAGGCGGAGGGTGCCATCAGCCCCAGACGAGAAGAGCCAGGGCTGGGTTGGGTGGAAGGCCACATCGAGCACCCCCAGGTCTCGGGTTAACGTGTGGCCTTTGAGCACCTTCACAGGTACCAACAGAGGGTTTTGGAGCAGGTCACTGTGGAGAGGAAAGGGGGTTCACAGGGTGGCCGCTCGTACGCCATGCCGTGGGGTGGAGGGGGGCTGGGGGATACTCACTTGTACACCATGCCGTGGCACACAATGATACTGCCATCGTCAGAGCCTGATGCAAACAGTGGGTACCGGGGGTGGAAAGCCACGGCCCTCAGGGCCTTCTTGTGGTGCCTGGGGGGCCGGAGGCGAGGAGTGTGGTCGGTGGGGGGTGTGGGATAGAAAGGCTACTGCCCTGTCCCTGAGAGCACCTTAACCCTCCTCACCTTAGCACTTTGTAAGGCCGTGTAGAGAGATCCAGGTCAAACCAGACCAGCTTGCTGTCGTAGCTTCCACAGATGATGTTGTCACCTAAGGCAAAGTGTGAGGCCTGGGTCCTGAGGGCCCCCGCTGGCCTTTCCCCCACCCCACCCCCCTCCGTCTCTGCAGCCTCACCTGCAGGGTGCACAGCCAGACTGGACACCCATTTGCAATTAGGCATCAGTTTCTTGGTGAGCTCCTGACGCAGCAGGTGGTATATGCGGACACAGCGCTGGGAGGCCACCAGGAGGAAGGGCCGGGACGGGTGGAAGGCTACGCGCTGTACCTGCCCATGGCTGCGGCGGAAGGGGCTCTGGCTGCGGCGTCGGCTCAGCTGGTGGATCAACACCTGTGTGTGTCCTGGAGTGGCCAACACCACAGCCAGGTAGTCCCCACGCCCATGCCAGGCCACCTGTGTCACTGGCTGCAGGGACAGAAGAGATGTGCCAAGTCAGGACGCCTGCTCACTCCCAGTGCCCTCCACAGCCCCCTCCCTGTGCCACCCCCACACCTGGCCATGGCAAATGCGTAACCGCAGGCCTTCCTGACGCTCTTCCTCTGAGACCTCCAGCCACTGGGCAGGCTGCAAGGCTGGTTCCTCAGGACGGCTGAAGGCACCCAACAGCTGGTCAGTGCTACTGGCCATCAGCCGGTCTCCCAGGGCTGGGTTTAGCAGCAGTACAGCGTCCTCTCTGTGGGCCACACAACACTCAGCGAGCTCACTGGCGTCCCTGCTGCCCCGTCCCCTAGCCCCCGAGCCCCCACGCACACGGCCACGGCCACCAGACAAACTTCAGGGTTGGGGTTCCACATGATGCTTCTCACCACAGCCCCCACGGGCACTGTTCTCATACAGCGTGCAGTGGCCACCTCCCAGAGCCGCACTGAGCCATCATCTGAGCCTGGAAAACAAAGACCCTCAGCAAGCAGCGCCCCACATCCCCCACCCTCCTGGGCCACCTCTGACCCTGGGCCCACCTGAAGCCAGCCACTGGCCACCTGGGGCGACACTGAGGCAACGGACCAGATCACTGTGGCCCTTGTAGACCTGCAGAGGGTGGGGGCGGGCAGGCAGTGGTGAGACTGAGCAGCCTCTTGGTGCAGCCCTAACCCACCACCACCCACAGCCTCTGCCAATGCTCACCAGGGCCTGGCACGTGGGGAAGGGCTGCAGGTCCCTCGGCCGAGGCAATTTGGGAATCAGGTCTTCGGGGTCCACGTTGACCTGAGCAGACAGCTTGCCAATGGTCACTGACTGCCCTGGGCCATGCCCACCCGCACATTCCGCCCACCCGCACATTCCGCCCACCCACATACCCTCATCTTGCGCTGCCGAGGACATAGATAAAGATCCAGGCAGCGTTCAAAGCGCTCCTGGATGAAGCGGCTATAAGCAGGTACAGCTCGGAGACTCGGGAACTTGCGTGGCAGAAAGTTGAGCTTCCTCTCACTGGGCTCCTGCTGCTCCCAGACCAAGCGCTGTGGTTACAGGTAGTGATGAGGGGGTTGGCCGGGAGGTCCTCTACCCTCCTCCTGCCCCCCCTCCCCCCAGCCAGGCCCACCTCCTCCTTGTTGAGCAGGTATTCTGGAGGGGGGTTGTATGACTCAGCATGGCCAGGAAGAGCCAGCTTGGGGGCGGGCACATGCATCTTGTGACGTCCCAGGATGGCATTGGGGTCCTCCTGGGCCCACAGGTCATAGTAACTGGGGGTTGGGTCACGGGGCCGACGAGGCTGGATCCATCCCATCTTGATGGCATGTACCATGCGGGAGACCTGGGCACAGGCAGCGGCAGGAGACACGCTTTTGAGGCGTGTATCCCTCAGTGGGTGCTGTTGGGGTATATACTGGGGTAATGGTTGTATTTACTCTGATGGCAAGAGGCCCTATGGGAGCCGCACACACCTTTTCCTTCTCTACAAGTGATGGGATAAAGCTTCGTTTATCGGCAGGACGGTTGCTCACTGGGTGGATCATGATGTCCCCACTGAAGAAGTCCACAGCTGGCTGGGGTGCAAAGCATGCATAAGACCGAGCCCTGTAGGGCATGCCCACCCCCAGAGCTGCTTCCCAGTCACGTACCTCATAAGGGTCAAAGCCCACATCCCCAAATTGGCCCCTCTGCAGCCGATGCACCAGGGCCACCTGCTCATCCGTCAGCCTCACATCCTGGCCCGTTGCCTGGTCCTGCACTGTGCGCCTGGGAATAACCACCCACTTAAGTCACATGGCCCTGTTCCCCGAAGCCCGACCACTCTGCCTGTCTCCAGACCCCTGGCCCAGCCCCACCAGTAGTCCGGGTCATCCATCTTGTCCAGAAATTGGTCAAGCTCATCTCGGGTACGCAGAGGTTTATAGATGCGTCGGCCGTCCAGGTCATAGCCCACATGGGGGAAGTCCGAGTACCACTCCAGTGGCACATTGCCTACGGTGTTCCGGATATCCTGCAGGGCAAGCTGTGTCAGCCAACCCTGACCCTGAGTGTGCCCTCCAGCTGCCCTGGCTCTGACGTGGCACAGCCACCAGAGCTGCCCCCACCCGGCCTCGGAGGCGCCGAGGCTGCACCTTCACATTTTCCACTGTAGGGGTGCCAGCCCCGCGCCTCCCCCGCCGCCAAATTCCTTGGCCAGGGCTCTGGGCAGCCACAAATGAGGTGACCTCATCACCCGTGGGCTCCCTCCCCTGGTGGGGCCCTGAGGCAGTGAAGTGGTAGCCACAGGGCAGGGACACAAGGCTGGAGGTACACCAGGCTGGAGGGGGAGCTGGTGCTGCTCTGTGTTAAAGCAGGTCCTGCCCCTGGCTCCCCTCCGTCCCCAAGCCCTGCCTCTATGGCCCTGTCGCCCCCACACTGCCCCTGGCAGGCTCAACAGCTGCATTCCTGGACACACATTCCTGGTAGAAGCCCCTGCCAGCCACCACCGCCACCACCACTACCACCACCTCACTCCGCCCATCTCTGGAACTGACTCCCAGGCAGCAGCTTCCTGCAACAGTAGCCACGTGGGGGAGGGGTCCAGTAGCCAGCACACAGCTGGGCGACCCCTCCACACCACTCCTCTGCCCCTGCCCTTCCCTCCACATTTCTAGTCAGCCTGAGTCCTCATAGGTAAGGATCCCGTGTCTTTCCCAAAGGGTCTAGGGGTCCAGTGTCTGCCCCCCACCGTTAAGTGACTGCAAGGGCAAGGAGATCAGTTCCGGCAAACAAGGAGGACTGCAAGTGGAGAGGTTAAGTGCAGGACCTAGAACTGCCTTTTCCCTGTGTGACCACTCCACAGCCTGGGCGCCGTTGGGGCATAGGTGAGTTAAGCTAGGGCAGGGCAGCTGAAGGGAAGAAGCCGTTTGACCCCTAGGCCCAACCGAAGCGAATGCAACCCAGACCCTGGGCCCAGTACCACGCTGAAAGGGCCCCCATTTCCTTTGCATCCCCGGGAGACGGATGCTCCAAAGATTTACCCCCTTAGTGAGGCCCGGGGAAGACGGCAGGACAAGGGCTTGCAGGGACGATCCTCCAGGGGATGGGGGCGGGGCTAACGCGGCAGGGGCGGGGCCTGCCCAACCGAGTATAAAGGCCAGACGGCTCTTTCCAGGTCGGGACGCACATGTGTGCGCGGCGCCCGGAGCCGGCCCCGCCCGGCGCTGCGCAGACCCAGGCCCGGGCTGCCTACGAGGGCCCGTGGAGGCAGGAGGCGGCATGCGCGGCGGGCGGCGGCACTGAAGGCTCGGCCCTATGACCTTCGCCATGCTGCGCGCGGCGCCTCCGGGCCGCTACCTGTGCCCCGAGGTCAGCATACTGTCAGAGGACGAGGACAACGGCAGCGAGAGCTCAGGCTCGGACGAGAAGCCCTGCCGTGTGCACGCGGCGCGCTGCGGCCTCCAGGGCGCCCGCCGGCGGCCCGGGGGCCGGCGGGCTGGGAGCGGCCCGGGACCTGGAGGGCGCCCAGGCCGGGAGCCCAGGCAGAGGCACACGGCGAATGCGCGCGAGCGGGACCGCACCAACAGCGTCAATACAGCCTTCACAGCGCTGCGCACGCTCATCCCCACGGAGCCCGCCGACCGCAAGCTCTCCAAGATCGAGACACTGCGCTTGGCCTCCAGCTACATCTCGCACCTGGGCAACGTGCTGCTGGTGGGAGAGGCCTGTGGCGATGGGCAGCCATGCCACTCGGGGCCTGCGTTCTACCACCCGGCGCGTGCGGGAAGTCCACCGCCGGCGGCACCACCGCCGTCCCGGGACAGCGAGAACGCGCAGCCCAAGCAGATCTGCACCTTCTGCCTCAGCAACCAGAGAAAGCTGGTGAGCTCCAGAGGCCCTTCCCCACCCACCCGGCCTGACTTCAGGAACCTCAGGCCTGAGAAAGGAAAGGACAGAGCAGGAGGCAGGGACGACACAGAGGGGGCCACCCAAGGCCAGGCAGGAGTCTGGGGGAAGGCAAGGAGGCAGGACCAGGATGGGTTCTAGCAGCCCTGATCCCCCACCCTGCCCCCACAGGAAAGCCGTGGAGGGGCCTTAGGGTTACTGCACAGCTCAGAACTGCAGACCCACCTGGCACCTGCTGACCTTCCACCGCCACCTCCAGGCTCCAGGCCTTCAGGACTCTTAGGGTTCCCGGCTCAGACACCTGGGGCCCCTCCTGCTGCCAGGAGGCTGCTTAAAGGGGGTCAGGGGGCAGGTGGGGACAGGCCTCGACAACACTGTGCCCTGTGATTTACAGCCCTGCTGTACTTGGTGGCACCGGAAAGGCCGGGTGAGTGGGAAGAAAATACAGCCCGGCTTTCTCCAATCCCCATTTCCTCTCCAGACGGCTCTGAGCCTGGGCTCCTGGGGCTTGAACATCTGGGAAATTTAATTTTATGTTAGGCTGTGCAAAGCGCTCCACACTGGGAACACTAGCGCGAACTTGCAAAGGGTACCCTAAGCACCCACACCCCAGAAAGCAGCACCCAGTGGGAAGAGCTGAGGGAGGGCCACAGAGCGGGGTCGACCTGGGGGGCCTGGGACCGCCTGCCTGACGCTCCCCCCACCCTCTGCAGAGCAAAGAACGGGACAGAAAGATGGCGATTCGGAGCTAGAGATGCCCAGCCAGCTCAGAGGTGCCTGCTGGGGGGGGCCGAGCCAGGACGGCCCCTGTGGACCCTCTGAAGGACCTCCGCCAATGCCCGGCTGGCTGAGGCAAGGACAGAGGGCGGCCAAGTCAGCCAGGCCCAGCTGGAGTGGGGCTGGCTGACAGACAGCGGCAGCAGCGGGCATGGGGTTCGAGCCCAGCCCACACCCACGCCACCTGCTGCCATCCTACCTTGGTTTTCTTCTTCTGGATCACTATGTGCTTTGATATGATAATATAAAGTCTGGAAATTTTGTAAAATTAAAAACAAAACTGTATCTTCCAGATGTGGGGGGTTGCTGTGTTCTCCTAAGCGTCTCCAGCAAGAGGGATGGGGGACATGACCAGTCCACTCCAAGAGCTACTGCAAGCAGAGGGCCAGCGGGGCCACCCTGAGGAGACCTGGGAGCAGAGAGGCCCACGCAGCACCCCCCTGCCCACTGCACACAAGGGAGGGCCACTGAAGGCTGGGGAGGGCCGAGGCGCCCCAGGACCCACCTGGTACACAGCCCAAGCGGTGTGTTTGTGCTCCATGTTGGTAGCCAGCCCTCAGCAGAGGAACAGGGAGGCTGGGTACACACCGGCGCCCCTCAACCTCTATCCCACCCAGGCGCGCTAAAGCACTTTCTAGACCAGGGGTCTGTCCCTATAGCTAACCCAAAACCAGAACCTTTACTCATCTTAGTCACCTCCCCACTGAGCCAGGCCTGGGCCCATCCTTCCCAGTCCCCAGTCCAGCATGTCAGGAGCAAGGAGAGGTGAGTGTCTACCTCAGGGCAAGGAGGGACAGGTGGCCCACGCAGAGGCTGCTCCACACTGTCTGCCTGGGTCACCATGCAAATCCTACAGGTGACAATTATAGATCAGTGCAGGGAGCTCCACGAGGCACAATGAAGAAGCAAGAGGACAGTCAGCCCTCACGGTGACCCCTCGAGCCCAGGCAGCGAAGCCTGACTTCCCAGCAGGTGGGTGGAAAGAAGCAAGCAGGCAAGCACCAGGTGTGGGACCGCCACTGTTCCCAATGTGGCTAGCAGCCCAGGCCAAGCCCTCAGCAGCCCCTCTGGCTCCCAGACCTACCAGTTCAGAACACACACAGGCTGAACCCTGGTCCAACACGAGTGCCCACCCCCTGCGACCCACTCCTCTGCCGAGATGGGGCTCCAGGGATACGCGAGGCAGGAAGTGGTGGTGTCATTTTGGAGGAAATTCTCAAAGCCAGAGCCATTAAGGGCTGGGGCTGTGTCCAATCGAACAGAAATAGAACAGGACAAAACCCTAATGGCTGCCTCAATCCGGAGAGAAACCTAACCCCAAATTTCCTCTCCCTAATCCAGCAGGAGCCCACAGCTGGGGTGGGGGTGGGGGTGGCAGTGGGGGACTGCCCTAGCCTCCTGGACCCCAGGCCCGGGGCAGCTGGGGGCTGAAGTGGAGGGTCTGTCCCAGCCTCCCCAGGAGCCCCCACCCCCCATCCATAAGTTAGGGTGCTTAGGACCCCACCCCCGGCCCCAGGAACCCGAGAAGACAACGGCCAATGAACAACTACCTCGGAGCACAGATACACAACAGACACCATGCCATGCATCAGTGTCTCCTGAGGGCACCAAGTCAGGTGCAGACCTGAGGATGCTCTAGCCAGGGCAGGGAGAGATAGTGACCATCAACCTGAGGGTCCAGCTCAGGTATGAGGAGCTGCAGGGAGTCGTGGTACTGAAGTGGCACTGAGGACTGTGATGCTGGGGCCCCCCTCTCCCCTCTACACACGCCATCCCAGCAAGTAGGGGGAAGCCTTCGGGTTTAGAAACCTTTCCAGGTACAAAAAGGAGGAATCAAGACACAGCCAGGCCTGGGCCAGGGGCAGTCCCCTGGGGTTCTATGGCCAGTCAGGACTGTGCTGCAATGGCCCGTGGCTCCAAAGCAGCAGCAGCTTGGCAGGCCCTGGCGAGCGGGCGAGCGGGCGGGCGGGCAGCCCAAAGCTCCCGGTGGCGAAGCTGAGATCCCAGCAGCCAGCAGGAGAGAGAGAGAGAGAGGGAGGGAGGGGGTGGGAGAGGAGCTCTGTTACCCTGCACCATACCAAAACTCAAAACCTGGGACAGGGGTGCCCCAATGCCCGAGTGTCCACGCGCAGTGAGCAGCCACTGGCAATGGATGGCAGGTGCTGCTCAGCCCAACATAGGGCACAGATGGCAGCCTTCAGGCCCACTGTGCTCACGCCCCAGAGGGGGCCAGGGTGGGGGCCACTAGCCGCCAGGCTGAGCTGGAAACGCTCTCGGCTTCAGCTGTCAGCTCCCTGTCCCCGGCAGGGAATGAGCTGCTGGCCGCACCACATGATTCATCACCAGCCGCCTGCGCCCAGACCAGCACCCCCGCCCTGCTCGGCACCTGCGGCTGCCAGGAAACACATGTGACCCCCTGGGTGAATGGGCCCAGGACCCCCACTAAGGGCAGGCACTGCTCTCTGGTACCCCAAGCCCAGGATCCAGCCGACCCAGGACCGGCTGCCCTCTTGGGGGCCACCACTAGGACAGAGCTCCGGGGATGCGGCCAGGGTCCCCCACTGCCCACCGCCGCACGCCCCACCAGACAGAACCGGACACAGGCCAGCGACTGGCTGATGTGTCGGCTGGGGTTTTTCCGCTCTCCCTCTCGATGCGCTGCCTCCCCTCCCCCTCCCCAAAGTGGCTGCAGCTGTCAGGACCAGATTGGAAGTGCAGGTACGCCTGGCCGGCTGCCCGCCCCCGGTGTCTGTCTGCAAGAGAGGAAGCCGGCCCACCTCTGGAATCCTTCACTCTCTCCTCGTTCCCACTCCCCACCTGTCCCCAGGGAGTGTGGGGTCAGCCGCCCTTGCTGGTCCCGCTCTCCCTGCCCCTCTCCGATTACAATGCCGGCAGTGTTCCTGCCTCCCCCACTGCACGCGGCCCGGGTCTCCCAGCGCCACTCGGCCTTCCTGTGCCTCAACTGCTCCTCCCGAGCCCCTTCATCTCTGTCAGACCCACCTGTGGCCCAAGAGACTGAGGGTTCAGCGTCTCCCTGCTCCTCCTTCCCCTACACCCATCACTGCCATCTGCCCCTCCTCAGGCACACACACAGGGAATTGCTCCATGTTTGGGTGCTCCAGAGGTTGCCTCTGAAGGTGCCCTTAGCTCTGAGCTTCACTCACACTTAAACCGACCCGTGGGCCCTAACAAGCACATCCCACCTTCCTCACAGATCGTCCTTGCTCCCATCACCTGAGTTTTCCTGCCCCACACTGGTGTCCCTAGGGACTGGGGGGCTGCACCTGCCCCTCCCTCACACTGACCCCACCATCTGCCTACTACTCCTCCCAGCCAGGGCGATATATGGCATGAGGAGCAGCTGGCCTGGGCAGGCCCAGTGACCATGCGGGCACATCCTGGCTTGTCCCACAGCCGGGAGCAGAGGACAGGCAAAGCTCTGGGCCAGCGGATCCCTGGCTGGCCTAGGGCCTCAATGCCCATGCTCCAGGTGCGGGGGCCAGGCAGGTGGCCTCAGCCCCCAGGCCCATCCTGCTAGGGGAAGGGACAGGTCCCAGACACCAGGGGGCTTGGCAGGGCCAGCATCCTCATGGGGCGGGGAGAGTACTGCAGGGCGGACAGGGCAGTTTCAGGCCCCAGAGGCAGCAGGGTTGAGCCGGCGCTTCACAAACAGCGGGGAGGGCGGCTGCTCCCTCACTCAGAAACCTGAGCCATCGGCTCGGCTGCCAGAGCCCAGCTCCCAGCCCCGCTCCCAGCCGGCCTGCGGCCAGGCGGGCGGGCGGGGCGCAGGAGGGGCCGCCAGCACGGAGGCAGCTGCCGTTCAGTAGCTGGGAGAAGCCATTAACGGCGCTTGGCCCAAGAGCAGAGGGGATGGCGGGCTCTGGATGCAGACAGGCCGTCCCTCCCTGTGGGCTCCCAAGTTACAGCTCAGCCAGTCTGGGGGGCCTGCAGGCCAGTCAGCCGAGCCGTATCCCTGTGACCCTAGCCCTGACCCCACCCTGCTTCCTCAGCATGTGTCCACAGGCCACCAGGGTCAGCCTCAGTTTCTCTCAGCTGTTTCACACAAGAGTGGGAAGGATTGCTGCTAAAAAGGCGGCTGCTCTGGCCCGCCCCTTGCCCACCTCCCTGGGGGTCCCAGCAGAGGATGAGATCACGTCTGTGAAGCGCGCCACAGTGTGGGGAGGCGTGGGGTGGACGTGGAGGGGGGGGCCAGGCAGGCGGACGACCGGCGCGGGCCTGCTCCCACAGGGTTGCCTTGCTCCATTTGGGAGCCCCTCCCTCACCTGCCTGCTCAACCCGAGTGGGGGGGTGGGGGGAGCAGTATGAGTTTGGGGGATGTGAAGAACTGGTCAATGTCAGTGCCGGGGGGTCCGCCAGCTTGAGATCTCAAAGCCCCGCCACCCCCAGGTCCCTTCGACCACTCAGAGCCAGGGTAGTGAAAAGGAGGGCAGAAGAAGGTGGCCGAGGGCCCCCCCACCCGGAATCCCAGCTGAGTTCCCCTCTGCTCATTTCTTCCCCAGGACCCCCCACATCTCTGTGCAGGGCCCATACCTGGTGACCTCCAGAGGGTGGGAGGGAGCCTGGTACCCCCAGCCAGTCACAACCACCACCGAACGAGCTAGGTTTCTAGCCAGCTGTGCCAGGGACTGTAGTGAAGCCAGGTGGAGAGTAAGGGTCCTCCGGCACCGTGGCCAACACCCACCAAGAGCACAGTCTTCAACCGCAGGAGGAGAGGTGCCCCCAGCAGAGGAACTCTGGCAGCATCCCAGGGGTTTGGTGGAAAGACTGGGTCCCGATCCCCACGCTCACAGACTTGGGCAGCAGCTGTGAGGCCCTGGCCTGACTCCTGAAAGCTGAGCTCTGCCGCCCCCTCGAGCCGCCGGCCGGCTGTGCTGGCAGGAACCAGGGGGTGGGGGTGGGGGGGTTACCACAGCACGTCACTCAGTCCCAGCGCCATATGGGATAGTCATCGCAGGAGGAAGTGCCCCGCCCCCACCGCTTCCTTTGCTGGGCAGGCTGCCCACCACACACCCCCTGCAGCGCCGCCCAAGGCCTGCCCCAGGACTCCGCTCAAGGGCTGGGAGCTGCCCCCGCCTCCCTCCGCTGAGGGGCATTCACCGGTGGCTTCTCACACACCAAATCTAAGAGAGCGGCCGACAGGATGTGGCTGCCGACAGCCAGGGCCCCTGGGAAGGGGGAAGGGGAGACGGGCGGGGGCCGCGCTGCGCCCCTCGCCGCACGCCCGCCGTTCCCGGCCAGGAAACCAATTTATTTTGTTTTGTCTCTGTTCTCTGAACGCACAGCAGAGCCCAGAGCGGGCAGAGAGCCAGGCCTTGGAGCCACTGCCAAAAACCAGCGAAGGGGGGCCATGCATGGAGGGGGCGCATCCCCAGGGCCACAGCAGGGCCTCTCCAGGTAGGCAAGAGGGTTCCGGAGGAAAGGGCCCTACCCAACAAACCCCACACTAGAACAGCCCCTGACCCACTGCAGGCCCAGGAGTGCCTGGTACCGGCGGGCAGCAGAGCCTATAACCACCAAGGCTGTACCTGGGGGCTCTATCCACAAGGGGCAGCCCAGGTCCAGATGGTGAGGGAAGACACCTCAGGAAGAGCGCTCTGGAGTCACCCACACCCCCAGGACCTCCAATCCGCCCATGGTAGGCCTCAGCCTAGCCCACAGATCAACAGTTGGGCCTGCCAGGCAACCCTGGGTACATGGGGGCTAACACAAGGGAGCCTCTTGGACAGGGTCCCAGCAGAGGCTGGCTGAGTGCAGCCCAAGCCACCCAGAGCACCCAGCATAGCCCCCGGCCTGGCCCCACAACTGCACCCCCACCTTCCCAGGCACCACCAGTCATGTGTCCCAGACCCCAAATTGAAACTCCAGAAGGGTGCGGCCCTGAGCCAGAACGCCCACTTGGGCTGCTACAGCCTTGGCAGCCCCCACCCTCCATCCGTCCAGTCCCCCAGCAGAAGGCCCCCACCTCCTCATCAGAGCTGTCCTCTGCATACTCGTCCTCAGCCAGTGTGGTCTGCATTTCCTCCATCCTCGGGAAAGGGGTCCCAGCCTGCAGAAGACAGTTGTGTGGGGATGTGGGGCACAGACCCAGCTCCTAGCACCTCAATCCAGGTGAGGTTAGCTCCAACCTAACCACAGGGAGCCTCTGGGGCAGGTGCGGTCGGAGCCACTACTGCGCAGGGCCCCCCTGGGACACTGACATTGTTCCATCTGCCCCCATCCACACATGTGGGGCTGACCCTGCCAGGCGGCAGAGGCCACAGCCCGGTCACTCTGTCCTGTAACTGAGCCCCCCTTCCTGTCCTCCCACACACAAGCCGGTAACGTGAAAGCTGGTGTCAAAGCCCCCACGCTCCCCCTCACACTCTGGGCTCAGACCCAGCAGGGCTGATCAGAGCCTATGTGCAAAGCAACCCCCACCTGGGCCATCCCACCTGGGCAAGACTTTGACCAACATTCCAACCCTGTTGGGCAGGTGTTCCCACACATGCACGCATGCCCCAAATGCGTACTGGGGGTTCTCACACGCTGACCTAGAAAACCAATTTCCTAGGTTCTCAGACCAGCAGGACTGATGGCAAGGCAGCTCTTTCCCACCCCCAGGCCAGAAAGCACTGGTGGCTCTCCAACCTGGCAGAGCCCCTCCCGCCCTGGACACTGCCCTGTTCCCCTGTATACTCAGAGCCCCTCCCGCCCTGGACACTGCCCTGTTCCCCTGTATACTCAGAG